GAGGAGAGGAGAGGAGAGGAGAGGAGAGGAGAGGAGAGGAGAGGAGAGGAGAGGAGAGGGGCGGAAGTGACAAGAGGATAGAATTCTAGGCAGGAAAGCATCTGAACTTCTGGGGTCTTGTTATCTCACCTCGATTGAATTCTGATCTCAACGATTCCTCTTCTTAATCCCTTCTGACTTGCAATTTGCTGCTACAGATCTCAATACAAAAAACAAACAAACCAATAAACCATCAAAGAAAGAAAAGAAAGGAACAAAAGAATGCAAGGATGTGTGAATGTGTGTATGAAAGAAAGAAAGAAAATTGACCTTGTCGTATTCCATTGCTCCTGAATTCTTCCTGTACCACAAGAACGTCTGCAGAGATCACAAGAATAAGAAGCTGAAAGGTTGTAATTGTAACAAGACAATGACAATTATTAGACTTCGTCTTCATCACTTTAAGACTGAATCAAAAGACTTGCTGCTTCTAATTTCCTCTTTTCACATCTCAACCATCTCATCTCACCTGTTTCCCGTTTGTTCCTTCGTTCAGGTTCCCATCCACCCTGTGATATCCGAGGGCAGCGAGGAGAGACTGAGAGTGAAATGAAAAGCATTACACTTTCTCTCATTTACATCTTGACGTTTCATCATCATCATCATCATCATCATCATCATCATCATCATGTAATCATACTCGTCTCTCATCATCTCTATCATCATCATCATCATCATCATCATCTCCTACTCCTTCATTTTCATCATCATCTCCATTGAAATCGCCACCATCTTCATGATCATAATCATGATCATATTCATCAATTTTCCTCTGTTCTTCTCAACTTGCAAACCTTCACATGTATCTTCTCACCTCCTGCTCGGACGAATCGGAAATCTTGATGTCAGTGATGGCAGGCTGGGCACCGAAGTCAGAATCCTAGAACATCATCATACCTCTGACGTTGTGTCATGTTCTTACAAGGAACACTCCCCTCCTCTCCTCCTCACCAAGCATGTCGCGTTCCGCCATGAATCTGAGAGAGCTCCTGTCTGATCTTGACACCAGTTGTTCGTAATGTTGAAGCTGTTGACAAGACCCGATGTTATCTTTCATCACGTTACGTCATGTTGTGTATCATGTACTATGCAATGTTTACATCTCAAGTTTGTTGTGTATGCAGCTCATTTACATTTAGATATGATTGTACAACGAAACATCTGATAGCGTTTCTCATATCATGATTTTATCAACAATGTCCATCTCCTTCATTCCTCACAAACCTGAACTGGACAGGATAGCCGCTGTACGCGATCATGTTCCCTTCAGCACCTGCCAGCTCTTCTCTTAGAATCAAAGTAGAATTCTCTCTTCCTCCCCTTTCTCCTCCTCCTATCCCTTCTCCGTCCTCTCCCCCTCTGTCCTCCTCCTGCAGCCCCCCATTCACTCCTCTTCTCGTTCCTCCTTTCCAACCCTCCCCCGCAACCATCCTTCTTCTCACCAGGGATAGTCGTGTTCGACCCTGGAACGATGGCATGTGTAATCGGGTCATATTGCAAACCTTCACGGCATGTCAGCAGAGATTCCAGCGCGGCCTTCCTCCTCCTCCTCCTCCTCCTCCTCCCACCATCTCCAGGGAAAGTGTTGGGAACGAAGGACGGAGAAGGAGTTCCAGAGAAAGTAGCATCTGTCAAGAGAACAGAGTCAAGATGATGATAATGATGATCATAACGGAGATGATTATGATTATGATGATGTTGATCATGCAGATGGTGCTTTTGTTGTTGTTGATGTTGTTGTTGTTGATGATGATTATCATCAGCAGGAAAAGATGATGAATGCTTTCTGTGTTCATCGCCTGCCCTGCCCCTGCTCCTGCTATCTACTCCTGCCCCTGCCCCTGCCCCTGCCCCTGCCCCTGCTATCTACTCCTGCTCGTGCTATCTACTCCTGCCCCTGCTATCTACTACTGCTCCTGCTATCTACTACTGCTCGTGCTATCTACTCCTGCTCGTGCTATCTACTCCTGCTCGTGCTATCTACTCCTGCTCGTGCTATCTCCTACGTTCTCGATTCAGTTTCTCCTCATTCACCTGGTACGCAGAGGATTCCAGCAGCGATCGACTGGCACGACTGCTTCTCCTGCACCTGAGGAGACCAAAAGGCGTCATTTCAGAAGCCGCAACAAGGCAGCGTCGTCGCCACATTCTCACCTTGACCAAGAGTTCAGCCTGTTGAGAGATTCTCAGGTCAGCAAGTCAGCGAAAACGCTCCATTTGGCCCACCTGCGTGTACTGGGAGGTCGCCGCGTTGGTGATGGTAAACTTGAAGGAGTAGAGGCCGAAGGTGGGGCAGCTCCCTTGGCAGGTCAGCTGTAAAGTTCCATCCCTGCGTGTCACGGTAGTCAAGTCATGACTTGGTCACGCACGATGTCATCAGAGAAGACGTACAGGAACAGGTTGAGCCATGTGTTGGTGGACGAGCTCGTAACGCAGCTGGGGAAACATTAGCATCAATGCGTCCCCTGTGATGTGAGGGATTCACGTTGCTGGGACGTTCAAGCGAGGCTGGGTGAAGCTTGTTCCACCTGAGTGTACATGATGGAACAGGGAAGGGAGGGGACGGAAGTGGAGAGGAGAGTGAGAGGAAAGGAGATTGAGAGTGGAAGAGAGGGGAGAGAAGAGGGGAGAGAAGAGGGGAGAGAAGAGGGGAGAGAAGAGGGGAGGGTGGGAAAGGAGAGAGAAGAGAAGATGGGAGGGGAGGAAAGAATGCATCAGAACAATTTCACAAAATTCTCAGACAACTTTCCCACCTTGACAGTCCCCATTGAGAGAAAACTTGGCAGTGAAATCCACACCTGCACTCAAACCCATGAATGTCACCCACGACCCCACGCTCCTCCAACTGACCGCAAGACGTCGAGAGCTTGATAACGTTACAAGGCCCTGTCGATCCAGACGACGATGGCATGAGGCAGACACCGGGAGCTGCGACGGTTGTTGTCCTCGTCAACGGGACGAGGAGAGGAGAGGAGAGTTCTGGAAATCCCTTTGAACTTGTCACATCCACTTGGGAAAGGATCGACCAGGCTATCCCGACGTTGTTCACGGTACTTTGCCCCATGTTAGCAAGGAGGGGAACACGCTCAGTGAAAACGCTTCACCTGTTGTCTCGGCAGCAACCGGTGAAGTTAACAATCCAAGGGGAGGAGGAGGATGAGTCGAGAGGAGTAGCGTACTCGTGAGTGATGGTCGTCATGCCTCTTATCCTGTAAGGTTGTTACCCATCTCCTCCTCCTCCTCCTCCTCCTCCTCCTCCTCCTCTCCACCGCTTCATCAAACACTTATCAGCTCCTACCAGTCCTCATCTGCCGAGTACGTGTCCACTACCATGCGAATGATGGAGAAAGTCCCGTCGCCCCAGAAAATGTAAGGGGTCTCTGAACACAGAAACACGCCCATCACTCCATGAACAGCAGGAGGGAGGTGTATTCAAGAACAAAGATATTTTGTTCAACCTTGCCCTGAGATCTCAACCACATCTCCAATCTACCACACAGCATCAGGCCAGAGGGATGCATTTGAGGGGTGAGGATGATTTTCACCACAGCCTTGGTCGTATCGTTGAGGGCAAATTCTCCAGTGTATCCCGTGAACGACCGTCTGAAGGAAAACAACATTCAGCCCCACCCTCCCAACCTTCCCCACCCTCCCTTCCCCTTGGACCTTGCCTCCACCCTATCCCTCCCTCTGTCTCTGTCCCGCTCTCTGTCCCTGTCTCTCCCTCCCTCCCTCCCTCCCTCCCTCCTCTCCCCCTCACTTGACGAATACCTCCATTCCGATTGCAAGCGCAGCTCAACTAGGTTTCCTTGAACCTGTCTCCAAGATATTGCACCTGCTGCATTTTCACCATGGTATCTGGTATCTGTTCAAGGACTTTCGTCTCTTCACCTGCTCGAAAGTTCCCCTCCCTTACGATGCACCGCGCAAGCTGTATGCAAAGGAGGAATATGAAGGACTTCATCCTTCAGCAATCGACTCTCCCTCTTCCCCTGTTCTATCCGGGCCTGTGAGGCTTGTCTGTCCTGTCCTGTCCTGACTTGTCTTGTCTTGTCTGTCAGTGGCTCCTACGCTGTCGCAAGGCTGACTTCACATCGCACCAGCACCAGCTACTGATTGCCATTTCAACCGCCAAGTCAATCTTTCTGAGAGTCAGGGCCCTCACTGTAGTGAGTGAGCGGCCATGGTGAATCCCCGGAGTCCGGGCCGACCGGCCGGCCCCGGGCCCTCAGCGGCCGCCCGGCCGCCGCCGGCCCGGGCCGGGCCGTGGCCCCGGCTCAGTGGACAGTCTCAGTTGACTCAAAGTTACCTGAGTTAAAAACTTTGATCTTTACTCAAATTTAATGTAAAAATCAGTACGAGGACAGGAGAGTCCAGGAGGCTTCAAGGCTTGCCTTGAACCTGACACAGTGTCGCACAGGCCAAACGCTCAGTTTAATGCATTTACTTTGATCGTTTTACTCAAAGTTAAGTTAAAATCATCAGTACGAGGCTTCAGTACTTAGAGCATCCCGGCCCGTAGTATGCGTCTCATTCCAAGTTCCTTCGGCGGGCGGGTCCGAGTCACTGAAGCCGGAGTCCTCGACTTGACAGTGAGTCTCCTCAGCCTGACAGACTATACTATGATGACTCGTTGTCCTCGGTAGGCTGATCTTTAACTTAACTTGGAGTAAAGAAGGAGTCTTGCCGACAATTATTTTTATAAGCCTTGAAGGGCCAGGCCCGTGACCGTACAATCGGTGGCGCCCGGCCGCACGGGCGGCACGGCACGGAAAGCCTGCCTTAAAGGCGGCACTGCGGGGTCCAGTCACGTGCCGGCCATGGCCCGGGGGCGGAGCCTCGGAGGCCGGGGACTGATTATACGTAAGCAGCAGTAAAGGGCGCGCTAAGGTTTTTACTCATCAAAGTTAAGTTATGTTTGCAGTACTACGGTAGAGGGCTTGCAGGGATGGTCAGTGAGGGGATGAGGCTCTGGCACGTCGGGTTGAGAACCGTGAGACATGAGGGGGCGTGACATGGTGTAGGGGGTGGTTAATGGAGAAATAAGGGGTGGTGTTTGACAGGGTAGGGGGTAGTAATTGGAGAAATAAGGGGTAGTATTTCACTGGGAAGGGGGTATTCATTCGAGAAACAAGGGGTGATATTTGGTCATCGGAGAAATAAGGGGTAGTATTTGAGGGGGTGGTAGGGGTTATCAGAGGGTGTCCCTATAGGGTAGGAGGTAGTCACGAACACCTGTGGATCATGCGGGGAGATCGGAGGGCAGCGGCTAGGGTCGAGGCCTCAGAAGTCTTCTGATCATGTCGCCTCTTGCTGCCTCTTGTTCGCATCGACTGTACGATGCTGCGCTATGGCTGGTCCGGCCCGGCGACACTCTTTCGATCTCCCGTGAGAGATTGAGATTTCCATTTCGTGGCTCCTGAAGGAATTCCATCTGATATCTTGTATCATATATCTACCTCGGATCTTTGAGATGAAGGGAATAGCAACAGTACTTGTACATCCTCCAATCTGTTTCGACTTCGATCATCATTGCCTTGCAGCTCGATGTTTGACATTGACTTTTCGAGGAATTACTTTTCGTGGAATAAAATCAACATCAAGACGCAAGGGGAAGCAACATCAAGGATCTTCCATGGAAGATCGAGTGCTCGGCCTGGATATGCACACCACCTTCGGAAGGATCAGCAAGTGTCGAGCACGATCGTAGGTGAGAGAGGATGGGTCCGAGGGTCGAGGCGGAGGAGACAGAGCAAACCCTGACGGTGTGTTTGACGAGGGACGGGGAATACACGCTCAAACAATGTTGGAATGAAGTCCTCCCACGTCCAATGTTGTTGATTGTGCTGGGCACGTGCGGCGTTTATGAAGGATTAAGGGAAGGCAGAGAGGGAAGGGAGAGACCAACGCTTAGACAAATGGAGTTGTAGCATGTAGAGGTAATCCTGACAGTCCCGTTTATCTGAATGTTATAAAATCCGTCGAAAAAGGACCAGTAGCTTGTCGAACTCCACAGTGGCTGGTCCAAGTAAGACTATTTCATCCCAAGAGCTGTAAAGAAGGACCTCGTACAACCTGCTGATTGTTTCGCATCTTGTGCACCTTCTTGGAAACCATTCGAGCTTGACACTGAAACTGCGCGAGACCGTGTGGGATGGAGGAAACAAGAGGGCATACTGGGTATTGGACCAGAGCCCCTTGGTAAAGCTAGACTGAATGATCATGCGTCTATCCATTAGGACAACACATGAGTCTCGTCGCTTCTGATATCTAACAACCTGCACCGTGAGCACATCTTCGATGATGATGATGATGATGATGATGATGATGATGATGATGACGACGACGACGACGACGACGACGCTGATGCTGATGTTGTTGTTGTTGTTGTTGTTAACATTATTGTTGTTGTTGTCCACAACAAGTGATCGCCGCAGCGAGCTCAGGTGACAAGCTGTTATCGCCCCTCCTTGACTGGCCCCTCTCCAGCTAGATTCTTCTCAAAGTCTTCATCGCGCTGGTTCACATACCACTCGATGAAATGTCGGTCCAGCAAACCCGGGTTGATTCTCGACCCTACTCCCCCATAGTCTGTGAGCGGCTGACTCGTACCCACTGCCGCTGGTTGTTGTTGATAGGCATCAGAATGTACAAGCACGTGCGAGTAATCTTCTCCTATCTGACTGTGAGCGTGACCCAAAGCATGCGAGTCTGCCTGCTCCGGTGCATGGGCCCCGGAGGGGGTTGTATCGACCTCCATCGCCACCTCTGACCCATCCTCAGAACTCTCTGGAGTTCCTCCTGATCTCTCGTAGGGCCAGCGGGCTATCCCAAGTTTCCGGCAAGCATTTCTGAAGGCAGTCAACGAGACACCCTGCAAGCGCACGTCCTATCAGCGAGGTAGGCAGGTGCAGAGGAACAGTGGAACGGACAGCACTTACCAAGGATTCGGCGGCCTGCTCTTGCTTCAGGTGGAAGAGATTGACGACGTCGGCGCGGGAGAGCGTTACTACAGTCCTCTCCCTTGGCTGGTTCTTCTTCCTCCTCGGAAAGATGAAGACTGAATCGAGCGGCGGTTCGCCGTTCCCTCCCTCCATGGCGGCGGGGCGTCACGACGTTTACCGAAGTGATTCCCCCAGTTATATCTGTTCTTAAAACTATTTTAGACATCATAAATTTGTTTTTAGCTGATGTGCCAGCATTAAACAGTCAAAAGGTCTTAAGGGAGTCGTTTGGTACGGGATATTCCTCGAAAAGAAGTCTTTTCAAATTTTACGTTGTCTTGGAGATCCGGAGAGACTTGGGGCTCCCTAAACTCGCGTCGCTTCCGGCGGTGCCGATAAAACCCCGTGCGCTTTAAATTACTTTCGCAGGAAATTCAACATCCAAGTCGTGACTGACCACGTACCTTGATGGCAACCGTCAACTTCTGGAAGGCTCGCAAGGGAGTCGATGACCGGGTCTATGATTGCACGGCGATCGGCCCACTGCCGCCCCCTGCGGGCTTTACACTACTGGCAGCGATCCGTTAACAAGCTTCTAGCCACACGGCGACTCGCACTGTACAGAAAAGACAGAGAGTGTAACCTGATGGCTCGTACTGCTTTTTAACTTAATTTTGAGTAAAGTAAGATGGCGGGCTGTACTGAACTGAGTGCCCGGGCCTGATCAATATGGCTTACGGTACCGTACGGTTGAGTCAGTCCCGAGGCTCAGTCACCGTGGCACTCAGTGCAATAGTGACTTCAAGCTCAGCGACTTCAATCATTGCCGGGGGCCCGGAGCCTCGGAGTCCGAGCGGCTCCTCCACACAATGACCGTACTGGCCCGTCCCGGCTTGCCCACCCGGTGACCGCCGGGCGGCCAGCCGCTGACTTAGTAGGCGTGAAAGCCGGGGCCGGGCCCGGCGGCGGCGGCCCGTGCCGGGCCTGGCGGTCGGACTGCGCCGGTGGGCTGCTGCGTGGGCTGCTGCGTGCAGGCTGCGTGGGACTTATGAGGGACAGTATGAGGGAGATGATTTCGAAACATCTAGTGAGGGGAAATGCGCATGCGAATATGCGAGGGAAGCTGGAAGGAGAGGGAAGGGGAGAGGAGAGGAGAGGAGAGGAGGGGGGAGGAGGAGGGGTACGAGGGAGGAGGAGGAGAGGAGGAGGAGGA